ATTGGGATCTGTTTATGAACATCATATTAGACGCCCAGAATACCATTAACGAGAGGGGGAAAAAACCCTACACTGACTAGAAAAACAGCTTTGCTTTGAAGAGAGGTGTAAGCGGCCAAAAATTAAATGGAAAATGGATATTTGATTACAATGAATATGTATTAAAAGCTAGGAATTTTAAAAATTGGTAAAGGGAACCAAAAAATACAAAATGTCCAGCAGTGTTTAAAGACAGTATGAAAGAAGGTGATATATCTGAACCTTTTTTCCCCCCTAGCCATGGTTTTTGTCTTTTTTAGAAGAAGTTGTATAATTGTCAATAATAACACAAAAAAGACAGAAGTACACAGTGAATATTTCTGTTCTCTGTGGGGAGTAGGTGGGGTGGAGGAGGTAGCTAGATAAAGTATTCCTATCAGATGGTGCTGTTGATGAAAACATGTTCTTACAGTAACTAGTGAGATGGGAAATGACCACTGAAGTTAGATACTTCAAACCAGGAGGTCTGAATAGCTTAGCACCAGATGTTTTAAAAGGGCTGGTCAGAGAGTTCTCTTGGCTGTTAATGTTGATTTTTCAATAAGTCTTTGAAAACTGGAGAAGTTCCAGAGGACTGGAAAAAAGCTATTGTATTGGTGTTTAAATATATGAAATAGGTGAATGGGATAATCCAGGTAATTATAGGCCTGTCAGCCTGTTATCAGTCCTGGGCAGAATGATGCAACTGCTGTTTAAAGGCTCAGTCATTAAAGAATTAAAGAGGGGTAATGCCAATTAATATGGGGTTATACAAAATTGTTCTTGTCCAACTATCTTGGTTTGTCTTAAGGTATTTGGTTTGGTACTGCATAATATTTTCATTAAGAAACTATAATGGTACAAAGTCAACCAATTAAATATGGAGTTTTAGTAGAGTTCCACAGGGACTGATTTATGTGAGATTAACCTTGTAATCTTGGTTCTTCCCTCCTTTCATTCTTGTTTTGTGTGCTTGTAGCTATCTCTTCTGAGTTGTATTAAAACATGATTACTTGCTTTTCTGAACAGAAACCATCTGTTTACTTTCTCCTGGGTGGCATCAAGCACATTTTGTATACCATAACAATAATAAAAGCAAAAATAACATATGCTCTAAATATTTTAGAAATAAAATATCAAGAAGTTAGGCCAAAACTGTTTTTAAAAATGAAGCTAATTTTAGGTTAGTAAAACACATTTTTGTCATGCTTGCTCTGCAAAATGTATTCATTAGAAATAACAAGAAAATGCAACCCACATTCAGTTAATAAAAGATGTGAAGGCTAAAAATGGAAGCAAATTGAAAGGTAGGGGTGTGCTTATGGCCTCACTGAATTATTCTAATTTCTTCCTATTAAAAAAAAAATCCTTGTAGTTATAAGTAGTCATTATTAAACCCTTTTATGATATTATTTGAAGCATAGTTTTTGAAGGGCAAGATACTGTATTTAGGTTCAACACCCACTTCTCAGCTTTTCGCACATGATAATTCTTATCAGTTTTAATGACAATTTTCAAAGTGTTAGGTGATTGACATCATCTTGTCAAAGTAATGAGACGTACTATCATATAAAGGAACCGCAATGATGCCAAAATGATGGTAAAAACATTATTAATGCAAACCTAGGAGACCACATTATTCAATCGGAAGGAAAGGTTGTGAACCTAAGGCAGTATTAACCATGTGAAATAAATGGCAAAATTGCTTCATTGTATATGCAGTGTGTGCAGTTCAGAGCACAGTCCTTAGCATTAAATCCTTGTGACTACTCACTTGAATTAGGGGCAGTTGAATAGGGCAACATGAAAGAAACTGCATGCTGCTGATCAAAGCAGCTTCTCTGAAAAGGGTAAAAGCTAAACCTAGAAGTGGCTGTTTGTAAAAATGTAGTCTGAGGGCTTTGTTGGAAGAGGTTGAAGTTGGCACAAAGTGCAGGTGCCCACTTCATCTATGGGCTAGCTGATTAGCTTCAAATTAACTTTGTGCACCATTCTCCTTTTTAGCTTTCAGTTTTTTCTGCAGTTAATTTAAAGCCTTAATGCTAACATTCAACAGCCGCTAATGCTGTGAAATTCAGCTATGCTTTGCTTCTTTAGCACAACACAGACCACAAAGCCCAAAGGTAAATGAAAGAACCAAGACACAGACCGAAGTGTATCTCCTGGGTCTAACTCATAGCGCTTTGCAGCAAGTGTCATGAAGTAGACCAATCGTCCTGACCCAACACATGTTGGTTGTTGGGTCAGGAGGGTGCGTCATCGAGCTCCGATCTGCAGCCCATCCAGGGAGAGGCTGCGTTTCTGCAGCCTCTTCCCCAAACTCTGCCCCACCCCACCCTCACCTCTGTTCTGTCTCAGGATGGGAGGGGGAGAAGGCAGGGGAGGGAGGTCTGTTAAGGGATTTTCCCAGCTGCACTGAGGGGTGGATTGGAGCCCCCCACCTCGGGGAGGCTCCAATCCACCAACCCCCAACCTCCAGCAATGACTGGGCAAACACCAGGATGAGCTCCCTTCATTCCCTTTCCCCCTTCCCGTTCTGAAAACAGCACCAGGAGCAGTGCTGGGCTGCATCAGCCAAGCCCTGCTCCACTTTGGCAGAATTGGGCCTTTTTAAAGTGCTCTGCAGCCATGCACTTGTCTTTGGTCATGGCTGTAGAGCACATCCAGAAGCCAGATTGCGTGAAAATTTTCATTTCTGTATGCGCTTTAAGTGTTCTTACCTGAGATCGATCTTGGTGTGGAATGCACTACCACAGGAAATTAGATGGATCCTATCATAAACACATCTGGAGTACTGTGTCCAGTTTTGGGACCCTGTCACAGAGCATGGAGGTGCCCTGCTCCTAGAGAGGGGAAACTGTGGGAAACTGCTAGGGAGGGAGCCCAGCTGTGGGTTGCCATGGCAACCAGGAGGTCAGCTGACTGAAAGGGTCAGGGCCTGGCTCCTATATAAAGCACAGACAGGAGGCCAGAGGCAGTTCCCTGCCAGCAGCCAGAAAGGCAGGAGCTCCCTAAGCCAGGATGTGGGAAGAAGCCTGACCGCAGGTACAGCTTATGGCAGCTCTAAGATGCTTGAGCAGTGTTGTTATAGCCAGGTGGCTTATGTTTAGGTTATAGCCAAGAGGCTCGAGTTTCTGTTTCGTTTTGTTGTTACACCGGTGGTTTGGGTGAGGCTATTAGGCGTTGGAGGAGGCCTCATAGGGAACCCACAGTAGCGTGGGAACCCCAGCACCAGTAAGGGCGCAGCGTATGGGGTACATAGACCCCAGCCCCAGAGAGGAGCATTTGAGAAGCCCCAGTGCGGGCGTGGCAAGCCCCAGAGAGAGGGCACTGTTGAGAAGCCCCAGAGAGGGGGGCCTCTATTGAGAAGCCCTATGGCGAGCGTGTCGAGCCCCAGAGGAGGGGGCAACACTTGAGAAGGCCCAAAGAGGGGGCAGCGTTACAGAGAAGGCCCCAGAGAGGGTCAGTGTTACTGAGGAGTACAGCCTTACGGAGGAGCCCAGTACGGGCATGGGGAGCCCCGAAGAGGGGGCAGCATTGCTGAAAGCCCCAGAGAAGGGGCAGTGACTGAGAAGTCCCAGTGTGGACACGGAGGCTCCAGAGAGGGGGCAGCACTGTTGATCACTGGAAGGAAGTCCCAGAGAGGATAAAGAGGGGCCTGATTGTGATAAGGCTCAGACAACGGCTATTCCATCGGCGAGGTGTGGACTGCGGTGT